ATCGATTTGAGCCTCTAACGTTGCATTGTTGCCCAACTCCTAACATTGACTCGCTCCACTGAGCGCCGCGCCGCTATGGAGAAGCAGTTAGTTGAGTTAGTGTCTGAAGTCAAAACGCCTTCACTCTTGTGCGTATGCAACACGGACATCCATAGAGCTCGAATAGTTGCATCCAGGCGTTATAATGAAATTCGTTTAGTATCCGTCGCATGCGCGACACCAACTACAGCTTTAATTGTTTCTTGTACACACCTTAACTTAATAGCGTTGCCGTATGTGTCAATGAAGTTATGAACTGTTACAAATTTTTATCGCGACGACATTGTACATTTTTTGGAAAATGCATTAATTAAATGTATTTCAACGTCATCAGTCCTCGGAATCGCAAAAAAAATTAGGTAGGTATTGTGCGTATGATAAGTAGAGTTTCCTTATAATAGGGTCGTCCATCGTTTGGATTTTTCCTTGATTTTTATCCTTAATGGGAAAACTAATTTTGACGTTTAAGCACAAAATTTACAATCCTGATGAATCGCACGGACTTCGGCAAGACCGGATCTAGGGGATGGCTACATGGGCCGCGGCTCATGGCGGCAAATTTTGCAATTTTTTTAAATATAGGTATAAAAAAATCGGATTCAGAAAAAAATTACAAACGAAAAAAGGTGACAAAATCTCTCATTTCCTGAGAGTATAGTATTTTCTAATTTTGTCATCTTTCGGTGATACAAGAGACAGCACCTTTAATCAGTCGAGTTAAGAGAGAAACCAAACCCGCAATTTGGCCTGGAACGGCGCGGCGCAGAGAGCAATGATGACGAGAACTTGAGATGAACAGGAGAAACCCTCGGCTCGGCGGTCGGCATGTAACACATATCAGCGCCTACAAGACTGCATGAATACTTCACGCATTCCGTCAAACACAGTGCGGTCAACAGCGGTCGGCGTGAAACGCAAAGCGCCTACAAGACTGTAGGAATACTTTACGAATGGACCACTAGACAAGGTACGAATTTCAGCATTCTGACACATGTTTTTCAACTAAAATTTCACGCAGAATACAATGCGCACAACGAAAATTACCTAAAGCAACTCCTTCCGAAGATATTTAATGATTCTTGATGCGTGAATTCAAACTACCCGCTCATGAAAACTCAATGCTCTACGTGATTCACATCGTGCGCTTAACGTTATCATGACAGTCTCTGATATATAAAGATATGGCAACCTCAATCTTGACGCTTTGGCTCAGTTATAGCAAATTGCTAATAGTTTGAACAACACATGATGGGAAATGAACATTGCTCGATTGAGAAACTTGCTGAAACCGTTGTAGTGGGCGATTTGACTCACGTAGAGTTTTGAGTTTCTTGTGAGCGGGCAGTTCAAATTCCTCGTAACCAATGTGAAATAAAAACGTTAATATCTTCGTTAGGAGTTGGTTTCAGTCATTTTCGTTGCGTGAATCGTGTTTTGCGTGAAATTTTGGTTCAGAAACATGTATCAGGATCCTTTAATTCGTACCTTGTCTAGTGGTCCATTGCGCCAAACCCATCGCGGTCAGCGTGGCGGCGGGAGTTAAAATTATTAAATCACATTTACGTTTGTTCTTTCATAATTTTTTCGTTCATTTCTTCAAATGGAAGGCCTCGTCCACACAGAGATATGATCACGGAACTTAACTTTTGTGCAAAGTTTTATGAACTGTTGCTAGTAGTGTTGACAGGGTTTTCGCAAATAATGTGTCCAACAAGAATGAACGCGTCTATGCGCACCCCTCTCCCTTTGGCACGTTCACCTAATGGTTTGGTTTTTTTATGTTTTAAAACGAATGATAAGGGGGCGGCAAAATGCAGGCGGCCCATGGGCGGCAAGTTGGTAAATTCGGCCCTGGACTTCGGAGCAAAACCGATGACAATTCTTCCCTCGGCAAAACGAAATGCTACAGGAAATCTGTAATATCACAAGCGTATAAGACACGTATATCACACTCAGGTAGGTATATGAGGCCCTAGGCGCAATACCTAACAGAACCACAGTACATTGAAGTCTGGTAAGTAGGTATATTAAGAAATGTTATTAATTCGTTCTGCCCTTTCCCTCCTGAAATGTAGGCAGAGTCGGACTGGCGTAAAAAAAAGTTAGGCAGCTACTAGGATTTTGGGGCCCCTGACGTAAAAACTGAGCCCCTATGGGGGTCTGGGGGGTCGCTCTTCAGGGATGGAGGGGGGTCCGGGGGTCCTCCCCTGGAAATAGAAGTTTTAGGCTCTTTTCGCATTGAAATTTGATAAATAGCGCCTCCGAAAATGTCACCTATTTTTTAGATATTTTTTGAAAAATTCGGCGATTCCTCTTGTTGATAAAGAAGCACATAACCTCCTCAAACTTTACGCAGGGGCCTCTACTGGTATCTTTTCAGAGGCCCCGCCCCTGAAGTTACCTTCTCCCGGCTGCAGGGCCAGTAGGGGCGCCTCAAAAAAGAAGTCATCTTAAAGTGAGTAACCTTCAAAGACCGGGAAAAAGAGCTTTCGAGACCCGGAAGGGCCCCTGAAAGTGAAACTCTTTTTTTCGAGCCCAGGATCAGGGGCCCCTGCTGACATCTTTTCAAGGGCCCCAGAAGTGACCTTCTTAGGGCTATAGGGGTCTCAGAGAAAGAGTCATGCTGTTTAAAGTAAAAAACCCTTAGAGGTCGGGAAAATATAGCTTCGAGAGGGCCGCTCCAGGGCCCTTGAAGCTCATATTTTTCGATCGCTGAGGGGCCCTTGCTGGCATCTTTTCAGGGGCCCCTGAGGTTACCTTTTTCCGGCCGTAGGGGCCTCAGAGAAGGTGTTATGAGTTAAACCCTCAAGGACTTGAAAAAACGAGGGTTTTTCAAGGATTCATTCCATTTATTGAAGAATAAATTCAAGGATTTTTCACTTTTTCATGGATTCATTTCATATATTGAAGAATAAATTCAGGAATTGTCGGCTCAGGGGCCCCGAAGGGGCCCCTGAGCCGACAATTCTTAGGCAGCGATCGCTGCCTAGCTGCCTTAGCCAGTCCGGCCCTGACCGCGTCTGGTACGTATTTAAAGTGACCAAGTAAATATAGCATGAATGTGTCATTTTCTTCATATATCTCATGTTCGGTCAAGCACTGTACACTGTACCTATTCAACTTTAGAGAGAAGAGAAACGATGATGCCATGCTAAGGAAGGAAAAACGCCATCGCCGTATGAATATTGGAGAGTTGCAAAATTTTCTCCAATATAATGTCCATGGAGGTTTGTGTACGTTTTCTCTTGAAATTTTTAGACCAGCAAGATCCGATTGTAAATATAATCCCTGGTAAAAATTGGCAGTACAGTCTGTGTTCCAAAATACCATAGACCTACAGCCGGCTGTAAGATTTCCAATAGCTTCTATAGCCGGCAACACAATTTCTTATGGCCTTTTATAGCCGATGGCGATAAAGCAACAGCCTGGCGATAAAGTATCGACGGTAAAACTACCAAACCACGTATCTCAGTTTGCGACGTCGCAGACTTCCTGTCATGCTTTATTTTTTAAATAGAAAACCACTCAACGTCAATTCGTGAAAACTTCCGTGATTTTTTCTCTATGTGCGGAGAAAAATCTGTGAAAATTGTAAGGGCTGATATTGATTTGATCTCCTTCAAAAAAAAAATAAAATGTGAGTGGAGATTTTTAAACACCGCAAATGAGATACGTGGTCTGGTAGTTTCACCGTCGATATGCTAAATGTTACTAATTACGGATGCTAGGACTTAGTGAGTTTTTGGACTACCGCTCTCTCTTTGGGCCGCAGTATCTTGATTTAATTTGCGAGGAAAGCTCCGTACTTTTGAAGGATGCCTGGTTGCCTGCCATTCCTAATATGTTGGAGCGCCTTCAATTTCGTATGATACTGTGCAATACCTCTGGTGTGAAATAGTTGCTTCAAGCGCCGCGGGCGGGCAGCCAGCGCTGAACACGCATTGGCGCCTACAAACCTAAGAGGGATACTTCACGCATTGCGCAATGCGTGAAGTATCCCTCTTAGGTTTGTAGGCGCCAGTGCGCCGCCGCTCCGCTTTGTGTTGGGTTCTAATATTTAATCTCGCGGAGTCAGCGTTTTCAACTCATGACTTGACATGTTTGCACACTCTGTACGGATTATTCTCATTCCAATTGATGAAAACAAAATATGTAGTAAAGGAAAATATAATGTACGTTTTGTAAATATTAAAGTGGTTCCGTACAAACTTAAGGATGTACAAAGCACAAGAATTTCTTCACAATTTCTTATAGCCTTTTATAGCCGATGGCGAAAAAGCAACAGCCAGGCGATAAAGTTTAAAGCCCGGCGATAAGAACTATAGCCCGGCTGCACAATTTTTTATCGCTTCGTGTAGCCCGGCCGTATGATTTTTTCCTCTTCCTACAGCCAGTTATATGATTTTCTATCGCCCTCCTCAGTCGGCTATAAGAACTCCCATGGTATTTTGAAACGCAGCTCCTATCGCCAATTTTTACCAGGGATTCTTTGAAAAATCGGAGGAAGAACGTTTGCAGATTTTCCGGAAAATTCATAAATCATGAATGGGAATTCGGCAACGTCTGAAAGCTCACACAGCGCTGTTCCTTAGCACGGCACCATGATTCACCGGGGAGCCGTGACCAGGAGACAGTCGCGAGAGGGGGGAGGGGGGGAGCGAAAAAAGTTCTCTAGCCGCGCCAAAGTTGGTATATTCTTGCCTAATTAATTTTTTCATGCCATCTCACTTATGAGACAAGTGTCTGAGGGATTGAGCAATACCTACTCAACCGGCCCTCTCCATTCGCGATTATAACGGTGGGGGAATAAAGTTGCTCCCGAAACCTAAAAATAAATGTGCTTTCTCAGGGGGCCACTGTGGAATCAGAGTCCATTGCGCGCGCTGATACGACTGCCCTGCCACATAATCACGATCACAACATAGCGACTGATCATCACATCACCACGAATTGAGGTTAGTTTCCCTGCGGACGGTCCCTGTGATAAGAGTGATAAGACGACCCATGTCCAACGACGATCCAGATTCTGATTCTAAGCCGGTGCTTTTAATGTTACCATGGAGGATTGTCGAGCGTGCTTCCTGATCGTTCCAGGATGTCAAAGTTCATGATTCACTGGTCTTGGAATGAATACTGACGTCATCTTCGTGTTGTAACATCAGTCTCCCTTCCAGTCCAAGGTACTGCTCAAAATCATGCTTCGTGGGAGGCTGCAGTGTATCTTTTTTCACGCTTCTCTCTCCGCTACCACGTTCAACAAGTAGAATCATTCAATATGACCCCCCACAGATTTAGTCCTTGCAACTTTATCTCTTTCTTGTGTGGAACATCGACCACTGTAATTGCCACCCATTAGTGTTATCATTTGTTTACTTCCTTACATGATTCATAAGTTCATGTTTTGCTAGCCCAAGTGATTACTTTACTCAACTAAATTTCTCCACGTTTTTACCTTCCCTCTACAGTTTTTTAACCTTGTTACTCCCAATTTTGTCTCGTGAAATATTTAGTGCTTTTCGTTTGCGTCCATCCCTTGCGGACCGTTAACAGATCTGATGTAGAAGTTCTCCCTGTTGAACTCACGATGGTACTGTATGCTATATTAAGTTTTTGCTGTATTTTTTTCTCTTGGCCTTGGTATTTGTCCTATTATTGGACTGAACCATGTAATTTCAAATTAACTATTGGTCCTCTAAAAAAGGCTTGCACCGAACAGTCTGCGATCAACTACTTACTGTCCTGCACACTTGCTTATCACTTGTTATCAATAGGTGATCCTCTTCAAAAGTTGGAGACTAATCACCCCAACTTGTGATTGAGGCTATAGAAAATTATCGAGTGCATCCGACAATGCCATCACGAATGGCATTTACTAGCAAGTAATCAGTATGTTTTAGAGATGTTCAGATCCTCACAGATTTGAAATTTTCATGCTAGAATTGTGAACGCACCCAAAAATTTCAAAGGCTAATTAGCTGTCATCACACTGATTACACATAAGAAATCTTAAAGTGAGTGCACTGAAATATACTATCTAATGGATTTTGAGGTCAAAGAAAGCAGAAATTCTGAATTGATCGAGTGTTTCGATCTAAGTAAGGTCAGAAAAAAAGTTGCCAACTATTCTAGAATGCACATCTATTCTTTCTGATTATTTAGCGTTATCCGGTTTTTGTGCTTGAAAAATTAATAGGTACAATCTTATAGTTCTGTTGCATCTTCGCTTCTTGCTTGACTTCCTGCCGTATGGTGTTAAGCATTAGGTTTATTGGCTAAATGGCTCCAATTGAGAATTGAAGTTCGACTAATCAGAAACAGCTTTCAAGATTTAGGTTGGATTATTGTGCTCATTTTATTGTATACCCAAAAGTACCACTATCTTAAGTGTCAAGATGGATTAGTTTTTCAAATTTGGAAGCAATTTATTAGGAAAGGATAGCAAAGCAAAACAAAAAATTTGCAATGTTAGAAGTTACTTTAAATGTTTTTTAAAATCTTCCCTTTGAATTTTCTTTTCCAGGATGACGGACGTAGAGGACGCAGATGATGACTTATACTTTGATGCTGTCCCGCTGAATTCAAGACCAGCATCGATACTTTCTCGCCTTACCCTTTTCCACAGTGCTGTTGACATTTCTACTTTCGAAGAAAAAACTGCAATGATGCCTGAGGTTGAATTCTCAGGGGTTGAAATAAAAGAGGCAAGTTTTAATGACTACCTACCTATTACAGTAGTATTTGCTACCATCAATAATACAAGTCCAAAAAAAATTCATCTCATTTTGGAAAATCGGTCTGTTTCTTGTCAATTTTTATTTTTTTCGGAAAAGAAACTAGTCCTTGCTTGCTCAAAAGGTTTGCTTTGAGTTTCTCTTGTCATTCCAAGAATATTATTTAATTTATCAAATTATTAATACCCCCCCCTCACCACTTGTCTTTTCTTTTCTTTTGAAAAAATGTAAGACACAATCTCTATAATGCAGCAACTAAGATAATATTGTTAAGAGTTTTACTTCATGCAAATTAAATTTTACCTTCCCGTTTGTTTCACCTTTTTTTTTCACATTCTTAGAGAATAATATTAAAAAACTATTCCAACACTTCGTTAGCTTCCTCTGCTCTTTGTCCGTTATTTCGCTCTCATCGTGAATTACAAGCTGTCTGCAAAGACCACCTAATAAGCAGAAACACGTACGTTCGCAATCACAGAAATAAAGATTCACTAGATCCTCTTTTAGGATGGACTAGTGTGGGTGTAACACTGAAACCTGGGAGGAACACCTTTATTATTTAACTCCCAGCTCTCCCACTAACCAATTATTGTATTAAAAATTCAGTGATTTTTGTTCTGTGCCTTGTTGAATCCTTAATAAGTTTGGAATTGCTTTTGAAGCTGTAGGTATTGATTATTTGTTCACCTCCCAGCTATCATTCATCATGCTGTTCAGTCAGTCATAATTGACCTTTGCACACTTTTTCACCTCAACTCCCACTTATGTTTTCTTTTTCTGTATTTACCCTTGAGCAAAAAAAGTTTTGCTTATCATCTGTGGTGTTTTGGTCTAAAAGGTATAGGTCTCATGGCAGCAGTAAGAGTGAAGTTTAATATCATTGTTCATACAGTTATTCTTTTATTGTGTTTATTGAGTACTGAGAAATTTGTATTTTTTACCTGTTAAAAAAAAAGTAAAAAAAGAAAAAAGAAAAAAACACTAATTTACCCCTGCAAAGATTAATGACCATGAAAAACTGTATAATGATTAAAAAGTCCAGTGTATGGACAAGTTCTGTGAAGTGTCTGAAATAACTGAGGCATTATTGTGTTAAGCCCATAGCACCTCATGTGATGAATGGAATGTCAAACTAAGTAGTTAGTTTGCATAACACCAATTAAAACCTTTTTTATAACCTCTTGGTGATTTTCAATGGAAACCCTTTTTTTTTCAAGACCACTAATATTTACGCACCATGTTAGTCCATTAAATAGAATGGGAAGTAAGGTATCATACAATGTGTGTTCTCATCAAAATTTGATGATTCAGGAGGGAATGTTACATCATAGGTTGTCAGGATTGAGGAATTTTCCAATTTTCTCTACCTAATTATTTCTCTCCTTTTTGCAGAACGGAAACTCAGATGACAAAAGTCAAATGAATGATGATGATCCTGACTTTATTCTGGTCTGGTCCAAAGCCCACCTTAGTACAACATCTTTACGGAGGAAGAATTCAAAAGCTGAAACGTTTGAGTCAAGTGCCAGATCTAGACGAGATATTTTCGAGCAGCACCTTAAAGATCAGGGTCTGGTCTTAGAGTATGAAACTATAGGAACTCTAGAATTTGTCAAAATATTTACCCCCAAGGAGGTTCTTCGAAGATACTGTGAGATTTTGAAACTCCGGATGCCAATGAAAGAAGTAAGTTCTCCTTGTTACTCTAGTAAAAAAAGTCACCAGTCTTAAGACAAGCTGTCATGCAGTATTCGAAAGCATATCATTGTAGCTTTTTTGAGTTCATTTTAAGTTGTCACAACTGATGATTGGAGTAGTTAGTTTTATCATTGCCTTCTGGTCCTCTGTATATGGTGGTTTCCCCAACGAAGGAATGCAATTTCATTCCAAGGTTGTAAAATTGACTTGGACAGTATAAGTTTGTTCAAGAATATATCTTTGCTTTTTTTTAAAAAAATTTCTCTTTTTAGCGAGAGATCAGAAGAAAAATCAATGAAATTTTTTGTCAGAAAAGCCCACGATTCTCGTGGCAAAAATGCATTTTCCAAGGGAAAATTTGACAACAGTGACGTAGTTTTGTTCTTTTGTAAGGGAAATAATGATATGATCACCAAGCAGCAGTTCACGGCATAAACGTGACTGACAGCCACTTTAAATAACGATAGAGAATTTTTAGGTATATGGCAGTTGATGAATTTTACTCATTTATATTTTAGATCAAGCTCTGGCGTAGAAGTTACTGGTAGAGCTTACTGTGAGGCTATCCTCTGGTTTTAAATTGGACAGAGAAGGATCAAAGGATATGTAACAAAAGTGTCTACAAGTGGGAATAAATACATCACAGGTTACTTGTTAGCATGCAAAACTAGAGATAACTAAGCATTGCTCTCTTTTATCTTTTACTGTTGCTTACCTGGAATATTTGCTCGTAAAGTGTAGGCTTATTCCAGCAGAATAAATCTCATACTTAAGGAAGCTTATTTATGTGAAACTAAAGTTTAATGGAATGGCTGCAAATTCAGCAAGACAAAAATCCTTTGCTTGCTGTTGAAGGGATGACTTCCATCTCTCAATTTCTGATTCTAATTTTTCTCAGCTGCCAGCTAGTAGGTAGAGTGCTTTTTTTTTCAGAAATGCTCTGTTTTGTCCCTACTCCTTGAACGATCTGTGAATCGAGCATATTATCTTAAATAGGTCCAATATATTTGTATAAATTTATAGCATCAATATTGTTCCTTCGTTAACTGATAATTCTGACTTTATTGTTACAGTTTCCAGATCAAGAGGAACCAAAACAATTTACTGTGATAACGGAAGTGACTTCATTCTTGAGTAAGCTTTTGCAATTCATGTATATCGACTCGGACAAGTTTCCCCCTGAAAAATTCAAACTTACTGCAGAATATAGTAGAAATAAGCATTATTTATTCGACGAAGATGCACCAAATTTTTTCTCTGCACCAATACGTTCAATTATAGTTGATTTTATTCTTAGTCGCCAAAACTTCAGCGAAGATCCTGATGATATGAATTGTGTTGGAATTCAAAGGCTCCTGGATGAAGGAGTGTACAAAGCAGCATATCCACTTCATGATGTGAGTAAATACTTTTAGATTTGGAGCTGGTTCTATTTTCCGTGTTTTAACTTGCACCTTTTAGATATCTTAGGAACCTCTAAAATTGTTTCAGCATTTTTTTAAAATTGTTTTAAAAAATTACCACTCTTCTTTACCCCTTGCAGCCTTCTATAAGCTTAGGGGAGCTTAAGATTTCTCAAATTTCAAAAATAAAGGACACCCCAGCTCAGGTGTCTCCCTTTCCCTCCTACAGGCTTTCAGGGCCCCTGTCTATGCAACCTGTCGCTGGTTAAAGGACTCTCGGTCTCGGCTAATTCGGCAAGATATGCCGTGCTTTTCATGTTCACCTTTAACAGGGTAACAAAAGAATAGTGGACCTTCAAATACTCAAAATCCAACAGATGGCACAGATAAAGGAGAACTCATTTTTTTTCAAAATTAGAAAAAAAGGATTTAAATTTTTTTAAGAAAAGCAATAACCGCATTTGATTTTAGAATTATTTTTTCTTACATTGCACTGCATTCACTGATCTATTTCTCAGAATCTTCAACTTGTAAACTCTTTGTCGTAATTTTCAGGGTGATTATAATGCTCCAGGTTCTATGCGATATTTACTTTACACTGAGTGGGCTACAATCAAGAATTGGGTCAAAAATCAACCTATTGACCATATCAAAGAATATTTTGGCGTAAAAGTCGCTCTATATTTTGCATGGCTAGGTTTTTATACGCACATGCTTATACCAGCCTCTATAGCAGGCATTACAGTCTTCTGTTTTGGATTATTCACTTTAAGCAGGAATACTGTCAGGTAAGCTTTTATCTGCTATTTTTCTCCTTTTCCTCTACAAAATTTTGAGTTGAAAATCAACAACAGTTTTGCAAAGAAGTTGTAAAGTTTGGTTTGCGGTTTTTGTTAGAAAGTCATCTTGCTGCCTTTTTAGTGACTTTAAAATTCACAAAATTGTTCAATACCGGAAAAGGACCTGTACCATCATCCTTCTTAGTAAGCTTTCTCAATGCAATCATGATTAATTCCATTTATGATGGTTTTATTTTTAATCTCAGTCAAAGTGCCATTATTTATGATGACCATGCAAAAAAAATTATGATTTTAAATTAATGAGCATGAAAAAATGTGTTAGTTAATCCTAATGATGACACTAATATTATGATAATCGGAAACGAAACTTTCTTTGAAAATTTTGAGGGAAAAATACAGGGAAGCTCTCACCAAACGCTGTGTTCAATAGCCAGACACATTTTCGGATGAAATAAATTTAAAAGTGAGCATGGTGTCACATCAAGTAGTACAATTATCGATTCAGTGTGCCTGGAAACCCAGCCTAATTCATGTTCAGTTGGTAGAACCCTGTGCTTATAACAACACTGATGTGCAGTATTTCAAGTTCGGGCACTTAAAACACGCAAGTCCTCTGCTCAAGTCAGCGACCACAGGTGGCATCTCCATCTGTCAAAAGAAATCTGACGAAGTTCCTTTGATGCATTATCACCTCGCCTTTGACCTCCAACTTGTGCAACTTGTGTGCACCTAAAGTGCTGGACCTTCATACTATATACTTCTGTTCCAGGATGCATAGGGAACATTGATCAATTTTCACCCTTTCAAATTATTTATGCAATCTTTTTTATTTTTCATTTCAGCGAAGATATCTGTAATAGATCTCGAGATATCACCATGTGCCCTCTATGTGATAAAAACTGTGATTATTGGAAACTGTCCGACACATGTCTGTATGCAAAGTTCACATATCTATTCGACAACCCGTTAACTGTGTTCTTCGCTTTTTTCATGTCTGTTTGGGGTGAGTATTCTCCCCCTTCATCACCAAAAATTATAACTCTTGCCAATTGTCGCAACTGTTCATCTTGCCTACTTAAAAATTTATCCAAACAAACTTGAAAAAATATAATGCATTTTAATTTGTGTACAGGATGCCTTTGGTCAATTCTTCATGTGACACTCAGATATCTGTTGGCAAAGCATATGGATGCCTTTGGTCAATTCTTCATGTGACACTCAGATATCTGTTGGCAAAGCATATTTCAGTTCAAAATGGGATTGGATTTTTAGCGACTTTGAAAATCAATCTCTCAGCTAAAATGTGATCAATTGAAAAATAGAAAAATACAGATACCTATCCGCATTTTTCATGTTCTTTCCAAAAATAATTTTTTTTTTTTAAAGAAAAACAAAAATAAAAACTGTGCCACTGCCTGATTTTTCTGATGTTTACTGAAAACTGTACTCAAGCTCTTGTGTTTAAATTCCTTTTATTGATTTGTAGCGACTGTGTTTTTGGAACTCTGGAAGCGATACTCAGCATCGGTGACTCATAGATGGGGACTTACAGGGTTCACCGTCCAAGCAGAGCATCCCAGACCAGAATATTTAGCCAAACTTGCTACGTCTAAGAAACAAAAAATTAATGTTGTTACTGGTGCTGTTGAACCTAGTGTGCCTTTTTGGAAAGTCAAAGTTCCTGCAACTCTTCTAAGTTTCTCAGTCGCTCTACTTCTGGTATGTATCAATAACTTATTCATTAATTTCTTTTTACTGTTTGCTTTCTCTTTGTTTATGCATATTACCAAGCAGTATGATTGTTTCTGGCAGCACTTATTTCCAAGTGCAACTGCTGGGTGACCAGTCTGAACACCAGTGGTAGCCTGTAGAATTGAATATTGTAAGTCTCTGCTCATATTTATCTTTCAAAGAAAAACTAACCAACAGTTTCAATTAAAATTTGTTTTGAAGCTCCTTTACTTATTCTATGTAAGATCACAGAAAGAAAAAAACAAAGAAATATTTCAAATAGTTTTTCTTGAAAAAATAAAAGATAGTCGGAGATTTTTAAATGTTCAAATTGAGATACCCATTCAGCCATTGAAACGGAGAGATTTCCTAGAAAATGAATGAAAGAAGATAATTTACAAATGATAAGTTAGTCTTACAGAAGAAGTTAACCTTGGGATGTAAAAATTGTTTTTGTCATTTCAATGGCTCCTCTAATACAGATTTTATGTTTATTCTTTTCAGCTACTTATTGCGCTGGGAGCTGTGTTTGGAGTTGTCTTGTATCGTATGTGCGTTTTAACGTCAATAAGTCTGTTCAGTGACGCCGAGTGGCTTTCATTCTATTCCAATTTAGTTATCCCAACAACCGCAGCCATTCTTAACTTGATATGCATCACTCTTTTGAACTATGTAAGTAAAATTGTAACAAGCATCGGCAAATATATATGTCTCCTATCCATGAAGTAAATTCCCTTAAAAACATTCAAAGTAATTAGATTTATATCCAAGATTAAACATTGAGTCTTATTTTAGATTGACTTTTTTTCTTCGTGCAAAAAATGGAAGCTCCTCAGATCAATACTTGGAAATTCCATCGCAGTGGTAATACATTTTGTAAAATGAATTAATTTTTTCCTTGTATATATTTTTTTTATATTTTCATGAGCTCTTGATTTTCTATTGATACTTAGCACTCTTTTGTTTCTAACATGAACTTTTACACTTCAGGTTTATGAAAAAATGGCAGTGTACTTAACGGAGTTGGAATATCTTCGGACGCAGACTGAGTTCGATGAATCTCTTACGCTAAAAATTTACTTATTCCAATTTATCAACTACTATTCATCCATCGTGTATATGGCATTTTTAAAGGGGAAATTCACTGGATACCCAGCCAAGTATAATCGCATATTCGGTCTAAGGCAAGAAGAGGTAAGTGCTATTTAGTCTAAGAGACCTCAGCGATAAAAAAGCTCCTTGAACTCTTGCCATGAGGTTATGAGTTTTAAAAACGGTGTATGTATTCTTATGAGGAGAATTTTTCTTAATGAGAAGTAATGGTCATTGTGTTCTCTTGTTAATGAGAGGAAAATAAGATTAGGGTTGCAGGAACTTTTCGACAATGTAGCCAGCAGGTTACGAGAGGTCTTCTGTAAAAATGGGAAGGCCCCGAAAACTGCTTTTGAAAATGGGAGGGCTACAAAAAGAGATCTTAAAACTAAAGAGGCCTGTTTGCATCAGTAAGAGAATCACTCTTATTTTGCAAAATTGCAGGAAGTGGAAAATAAAGAGAAAAAAGAATAATAACTTTGATAATTTTAGGGCTTTTAAAGTGGGGAGTCAAAAAGTAAAATGGGAAGGCTTTTATGTATTCCCGAATCCCTGAATAATACACAAACCACATGTCCTGCTCTTGAGGGTTATTACAATAGTTCACTCAGTCTGAAATAATAATAATAAAAGAAAAAAAATGAGACGGACTTTGACATCACTTTTTGTAATGCCATCTTCTCACAAACAGACGCAAAGTCAATCAAATTAAGTAATTTCTCGGGTTAGGAAAAATCTTTCCTCTTAACTCTGGTCAGATTTGAAGATTAAATTTTCTTAATTTGTTTGGTTTGCCTTTACAGTGCAGTCCAGCTGGATGTTTAATGGAACTATGCATTCAACTGGCCATTATAATGATTGGTAATCAAGCTATGAACAGTGTTCTAGAAATGATCATTCCGTAAGTGTAATGACGGTATTTATTTTTATCGAATTTTATACTTTTTTTTATTGACCAATTTGAAAAATATCAATAGCTAAAAATGGTGCAGCTTTATTACAATACTGATCGTTGGAATTCTGTGTTTAATTGTATTCTTTCGACCTATCTTCAGCTAAAAATCTCTGAGGTATCCTTTTGTTCCAAAGTAATCCACCATGCTACTCTGTAAAAATCTGAATCCAAAATCAGCTATTTTTTTATTCATGTTACAAACATAATTGATGCAAACACTAAAAAATTGTGGCAGCATATTTATATAGAATATATTTGTAAAACCAAAAACGAGCTTCGAAAGTTCAATAATACAAGTTAGAAATCGACAATGCTAAAAAATCAACGATATGCCATAAAAGAATTTTTCTTTAATTTTTCCAGGCCTATAATGAGCTGGTATTCAGCAATGTCAGAAGTCTCAGGTCTTTCAAGTGTGAAATCAACGTCATCAACCTCTGCAACTGAAGCTGAAGACGATACAACACTTGTACCCACTGACAAGAGTTGGTATAAGGATTATAAACTTCTTGACTGGGGTCCAAGAGGTCTTTTCGTGGAATACCTGGAAATGGGTAAGTTTCAATTGTTTCTTTTACCTTCCTTTAAAGTAACACATTTTTAAACTATGGATATTGTGATAGTCAATATTTATCAGATGAGTGAAGCCTTTCATTGAAGTACCCCCTGTTTGAAAATTTTTTCAGGTTTTCAATTTTTCCCAAGGTTGCAGTTTAAGTTGATAGCATTTTAAACATTTCTATATACCTCTCTTTAAGAAACTAATTTGTCTACTCTTTATTCTGTTTTAGTCATGCAGTATGGATTTGTCACAATATTTGTATCAGCCTTCCCTCTTGCACCCTTGTTTGCCCTCCTGAATAATATTTTTGAAATGAGACTCGATGCTCAGAAATTTCTAAGATTCTATCGAAGACCTGTCCCTCACAGAGCTCCCAACATCGGAGTTTGGTTCCGCATCTTGGATGTCTTGGGCAAAATATCTGTTGTCTCCAATGTAAGTGTGAAAATCAGTTGGGAAATTTCCTATCAAGGACATATTTTTCTGCCTATTGCTTCTGTGAATTTTGTTTTTTAACTTTGAAAGTTGCCAAAAATAAGTATTGCCGGTAGTTTTACCTATCAAAATTTCTCAAAGACCGTCAAATTTTAGCAAGCATCCAAAAAAAAAAGAAAAAAAAATTATGAAAGGAGGTTAATTGAGAATGTTAGCAGAGATTAGTTTTGAGAAATGGTCCGAAAACTAAACCCAACTTAGAAATTTTCCATAGTCTCTCCCTAAATTTTGGTCAAAAGCTTCTTTTCTTGACATTGCAACCATCCACTCAAGCATATTTTCAAGTGGTAATTTTTAGTCTACGCACATTGGAATTAAACATTTTGAGAATTTCGAAACTATGATTTTAACTCCTTGACAATAAGAAGATCCAAGGGAAAGTATGAGCTTTCTGCTTTCAAAACTCTCGTGCTCAAGTGAACTTGCGCTACATTTTAAAAATCATTTTGATTTTTCAGGCATTTATAATCGCATTTTCATCAAACTTCATACCTCGAATGGTTTACAAGTACGTGGTGAACCAAAATCGCACGGAAGAGGGCTTTTTAAACCATTCTCTTGCATACTTTAATACAAGTGACTTTCCAGTGGATTCAAAACCTCTGTATCCATCAGAAAATGTAACTCTTTGCAGGTAATTAAGTTTTATCTTTTTTCTACATTGATAGGATTTTGTAACACAAGTTGCAAGCTTAGCTCATTCTCAAGCAGAATCTCCTCGATCATTTCCTCACGCCATGAAATATATTTAGCACAAATGTGCATTTTGATTCCAAAATTTCACTATAGTCAATAACATTATCTTATATCAAAAAAACATGGTTTTGCACTTGGGTCATCAATATCATCACCCAAGAAACTAATCTACTGATTCGACTTTTTGATGAATATGAGGAAACGAAATTGATGCCTTGAGTCCTATGAAATTGACAACTTAACTATCTTTTTTATGAAATGCAATTCCAGAAGAGACTGCTACAGTCGTAATTGGAAGATTTCCTGATTAATTTCCCCTTCTTTCTAATATTTTGAATGACATTTTCGCAACTACTTCATCATGAGATTTTTTTTAGTTGCAGATCAACGGCTCTATTTCTTATGCTACTCTCTGAAACCAAAAGTATTTTACACAACATTCCGAAACCCCATGCGCAATTTTCTTGAAACTAGGTTTTGTTTTAGAACTATATAGCTGCTTAACTTGGGTTATATTTTGTACTCAATCCTAGTCCTCTCACTATCTGATTGACAATGAGAACTGATTCAATTTTTATGCTTTTGAAAACCTTATAGAAATGATCAAACTCCCATTAACTATGAACTAAAGAATTAAAGTGAAGTACATCATTGAAGAAAATAAGTGTGCATGTCAGAATATCTTACACTCAATGTGTAGTTTTCTGTTACCATCCATCATGATATGAAGCATGGAGTGAATACTACAAATTTTCGGTCTTTCAACAATATGTAGTTTGACTGATTTGTAAAAAGATATTCTTCACTTCATAAATAATTACTGCTATTCAGGTTTTTTTTAACATTTTCTCTCAACTTTTTTTTAATTTGCTTATTTTTCTAGGTACCAGCAGTATCGTGACCCTCCATGGGCAGAAAAAAGGTACAAAAGACCAATAATTTACTGGCAGGTCTTAGTTGCAAGGTTAATGTTCATCGTTATATTCCAGGTAAACTTTCATGGCTTATTTTCCTCTAATAATTTTTTTTTTTCTTGGTTGTCTTAGACCTCTTTTGTGTCTTTTTAAGTTGTTCAAATGGGAAACAAGAATCAAAAATGTTTTAAGTTTTTACAGATGGTTTAATTTTTGTATAAGAAAGACAATTGCAAATTTCCCGAGTGTAAAATCCAAAGAATCAATACAAATTCCTGTGAATGGTAAGAGAAACAGGTGAGTTCAAAACATTTTAAAGACGCAGAAAAAAACTTCAAAGGATTACGCGCAAAATACCGATAAATTTGGCAGCAGCAAAATTTCAATATTACCTGATGTGATGTTCCTTACAGCCTCCTTAGCCTAACAAGCTTCTAAAATCAAATTTTCTCCAGTCTTGAGGATAGCAGGATTGTAAACTGAATTTTTCGGTATTTTTACACAGTGCATCTAGTGAAAATGTTGCAAAATCTTATTAGTGATAAAAAAAAAGCACCTGTTTCCTTTCAGACTGGGGAGATAAGACGGACAAAAAGAATGAAATTCCTCTAAATGATAACAGCATGTGACATAATACATAGCAACAGTCCCATACCTCCACATCTCCATTAGAAAATGTTTGTACAAAGGCTGAAAAATTCACTCTTCAGCCCTGCTTTTCTTGGTATTGGCATGTAGAAAGTTTGATTTTAAGAGCTCATCACGCTTAGGAGGTTGCTCGGAACAACACATCAATTCATAATGTCAATGTTTACCCGGTGCCAAAGTTCATGGTATCTCTTTCATAGTCTTGAAATAAAGTTTTTGACTAATATGTACGATTGTTTGACACTGGATGATATAATTTTAAGAAAATCTAATTTAAACTAGGTAAGATTCGACAGCGGCTGTGTCATTAAATATTTAAATTATGATGATTTTTCAGAATGTTGTCTCTCTTGTAACAATAGCCGTTCAATGGTTAATACCAGACATGTCTGCCAGACTTCGGGACCAAATCAAGCGGGAAGCTTATTTGACAAGCGAGTTGATTATCAGACATGAGGCACAGAATAAAGCTGCTTGGAGTAAGTTTATTTCCTCAAATTTTACGTAAACTCAAACCTTTTTTTCTCTCAATTTTCTTTTCGCCGATTGATTTTTTTAAAAACTGTATCAACTACTGTAGAACTTGCTTTTATTAGAGTAAATCTGGACCAGTAGATTTTTCTGATTTAAGCAGTTTTTACTGATTTTGCGTAAACTCTTAAAAACATTAGGTCTTTTTTCATTCGCGTATCTCTTTTTAAATGATCAGAATAATACTGAGGCCTGTTTTATGGAGTCTAAGACATTTATTTACCATACATGTATTATCAGGATCAACAAGCTCAACTCAATAAACGTTAAACGCACAAAAAGGTAATTTACAAAAAAATGAGATGAGAAAATCTTAATACTTGCGTTTATTCAGTTCGTAAGGAGGTAAAAAAGACCAGAATTTTTTTTAAAACATTCAATAGTTACTTTTTCAAAAATTTTACATTGATGACTAAGTACGTATCTCAATTGCAACGTTTCAAAATTGCTGGTTATGTTTTATTTAATATGAGGGAAATTAATCATAATATTTCCTTGCAATATCAAGTGACTTTTTTAGAATGAGTGACAAAAAGGCACAGAAAATTTCAATAGGAAGTTTTAGTTGGTTGGTTTTCCTTTAACTTTAAAAGAATAAATCATGAGTGGATACCCAAAAGGTTGCAATTTGAGGTATGAGTTTTTCGGCTTTGAAAATGTATGTTTGGGTAGGCATCTGTTTTAATATCAAAGCTTCTCCAATTTTCAAATAATTTTTTTACAGCTTTGAATACCTTGGGCTGGGTTGCGTCAGATAATTCTGATCCTGACTCAGATCCAAAACCTAAGTATCGACATTTATGGAGGCAAAGAGTTCCTACTTTTTCGAGTGCTGATTAATTAAAATTCTTGCCTCATTAACGGGTGACATTTGAATATCAACCTCTTGTCCTATTACAACTTCTGGTCAAGTAAGTCTAGGTTTGACCTGTGCACCGTGCTCACTTTTTCTGTTGAATGGTCGTGTCATGTATTTAAAGTTTTGTCAACTTGCCGTTGATTTTTATGCCAAGTCCAAGTAGTAATGTCCCTGATAAGTTGTAATCCGATCAGTAGATTGTTGCAGTTTTCTTGATGGCAATTTATTGCAGTGAAATGATTACTTTGATGATGATGTTTTTTTGTTACTTTACCAGAGAGAATATTGTGATAGGTCATCATAAAATGGCTATTCCATTGCAATTAAATGGTGACTTCATTCAAAAGAGAAAATTAGGTTGTAATAGCTCTGACGATCTTAGTGATTTTATAGCAACTAAGCTGCAATACAATTACTACTTTCTTCCAATAAATCACAACTTTTCCATCGTAAAGTGCGACTTAGGTGTCAAAGGCAGAGATTAAGTTTTGTTTTGTCCCTATTTTTGCCTCAGCCTTATCTGCAAAGTTCCTTATTTATCTATTGAGTCTTTTCCCGGCACTACATTCACTGTAAATATTCTCATTAATTATTTAGCTTTATCATAATATCTGTTGTCATATTGCTTCTCTAATAGAATGTGTTTTAATGTATTGTCAATCCCAAATTTTTCACCTTTTTTTCCTCTGTGTTTTTGCGCCAGATGATGTAAATATTATCCTGAAAATATGTCCAAAGATGACAATTAACCAAGTGGCAAAATTGTACAAAAAAATTGTTTTATTAATTTGTATAGTGAGTTGATGCATTTCATTTTATTTTATTATCATTGCCACTCATCATATTTATATGCTGTATTCTTCGATTTCTTTTCTATGATGAACATCAACAAGTGGACTCCTTAAAGACGTGTTCAATGATAATAATTTTCTAATGCTTGCATTCTCTCTTTCAGCATCAGAACATATGCGTCAATGTGAAGGTCTCAAGAGAAATGGCTCTGACCGTGGCGTACGAAAACGAAGTTCCTTGACAGCCGAGTCCAAACTCTAGTAAGGAGGAACAAGCTTCAGAAATGAAACAGAATTTGTTGAGTTTTTTATACTTCATCGTAAGTTATTATGTACTTATTAGCTGAACCAGGCTCACATTTATAAAAATTTAAGTGTAGTTTTCTTTGAAGGATTACTGTAAGTCTTCCATGCCAAGCAAAAACCACAGAACTCCATTCCATATATGATGAGTCTTTTTCAGGCGAAATGTTTCGTAGAAAGGAAACCAGATATCTACATTGTTCCTAATTTCAAGATACACATTTCATACTCTGTAGTATTCATCCTGAAAAAAGAAAAAATTAGGCGGATACGAAAGTTGTCCTGTCACGAAGTAATGTTTGGACAGAGTTGAACAAAACAGTCACACATATGTTGCAGTGTTTCCAAATCTATCATTTTAATTTCTTGGAAGGAAAAAAACCAACGTTTTTGCCTAAAACTTTCTAGAAATAATTATCATATGGCCAAGAAAAATTGCAGCAATTTTCAAGTAAAGGTATTGTTTTCTTTCTTTCCAAAAAATTTAAATAGATAAGATTTTGAAACACCATAATGTTAATGTAGCTATTTTGCTCAACGCTATCCATTTGTGAGAAAAATTTGCAAAATCTGGATTGGATGGTTCAAGCCCAGCATGGCAGAAAGTGAGCCGGCTTGACTTGAGCCTGTGTGAAATGAAATAAATGCTCAATTATCAGAAGTCGCTAAACTCTTATCATCCTAATAAGTACATTAACACCTTTTTAAGTTTTATCTGCGAAGTTTATTGTGTGTTAAATGTGACGAGAGGGGAAAAAAGAAGGTTTTTTGTCCATATGCGAATCATTTGAAATGGAACAGCCTACGCTTTTACAATCATGACGCTATGTATTGTCAGTCCAGTCAAAGATATTTTTTCTGCAGAGTTCTAACACGTGTGTGTTGCGCACTTTACTGCAATCTTATTCAATGTCTAACCTCAGGCACAGTTTTTCATTTTGTATTGCAAGACGTTAGTAAATTTGTTATGTATTTTTTGATGGAGTTTGAGAAATGTTGAACGATTTTCTTAGAAGTAGAAACAATGGCTTATCTCCTTGTTTACCAGTATGACTTTCAAAAAAGTTCTTACAATCTTTAGTGACTGAGAATGTACGGTCAGGCCAATGGTTGATTTGTCATTTGGTCGAATAAGGTGTCCTGTGCGCACTCTTTGTGAATATTTATTTCACTCTCTAAATTTTTAAGAATCTAAGTACAATAGCAGAAATTTCAGCATCGGATTCATAGAGGCCGCATATTGTGACCAGTGTCAGTTATCGTCTTGTAATACCTGCATCTTAGCAAATTTTTGTTCGCCAAGAAAAACCAAGAACATTAGTTTTAGTTGAAACAATATGTTTCTATGTTTTCACTGAGCAATTTGCAGTGTAAAGTTCGGTTGATAGGACCAAATCGTGGCACTTGTTTTTAGTGCATATTTTATTTCTAATTTCAATTAAGTCAAAAACAAATGTTCTAAGTGCTCTTATTTTTATTTTTTTCATACTTACTAAGTTTTGTGGATATTAGTATGAGACTACTGTTGATAGGCTTAGGTCAGCTCACACTACTTTATGAATATTTTTGGCATCCTCTGACCGGTTAAGCAACTTTCCAAAAAGTTTTCATGTTTCTGTCTTTTTTCGCTCAGTTTCTCGTTTTTTATTATATCGCCGCGCCAGAAAACTATGCTGCAGAGCGGGAGAATAACATGGTACAAGTATGCAAATACTGTCAAATTTTTCTGTCAAATATCTATTTCATGATAAAACTAATGAATATTTTTCCCCTGAAGATTTCTGATACATTAGAATGAATTGAAAATAAAACATCGGAAAAATTCAATTAAAAAAATTTGCAAGCTCTCTACAAAAAAATTTCATCTTATCAGAAGAAATTTGGCCGCATCTGAATATTTCCACAGAAGAATCAGATTAATAGACATGTAATACAATCGAGACTAAGATCATTACTCAATTGATGAGATAATAGGTAGGCCACCCTAATTGCATTTAGCATCAGATAATTCGTGAAATCAGCAAGAGCTATCTGGGTCAACGGGCATTAGGCATGCTTATAAGCTGTAAGTTGCACTTAGCGTTGTAGCGTTTCACTTGAAGGCGAGTTATAACTCCCCAAATTTTTTCATCTCTTCTGCTATAAGTTAAGCTTTAAGCACTGTCTAGATTATATTATATGTCTGTGATCATATTTGAAAATTGTTCGGAAGCACAAAGGCCAAATCTTAAAAAGTTAAATTTCCTCTTTGACAAGATTGGAATTTCGGAAAATTACTTTTCAGCACTGTGATCTATGAGCATATCTATCAACTTCAGTTTGAAGCTGCCTTTTTATTTATTTATTGTATTTATAAAATATTATATCCTGACCATGACATAACCGTTTGGTTTTGTGACTCCCTTTTAATGCTAAGAAGCCTGTCTCTTTAGCATTTCATCTCGTTACTAATGTTCATCTTGTGCTTCAGATGTTTTGGCTATTTTACTGAGTCAACGTTTGGTATTTTTCTCTTCAAAGAATCTGCTGTCTATAATTTTTTTTCTCTTTCCTTTCTCTTTCAAAAAAAAATTTCAAGGATTTTTTTTTTTGTATTGATTTTTCGTTTTTTTTTTTGGTGGCAAAGCCCCCTAGTGTTAATTATTCTTACAATTAAGTTTAGAAAACTCTCTAAGAGAAAGTATATATTTTGTTTTCCTTTTTTTTTAACTACACGAGTGGGACCATTATTAAGTTAACGACTTGAGCAACTTACTGTGGTGCACATTTACCAAGTGTGTCAATGTCTACATGTGCCCTAGATGTATAAAAAATTTAAATAATGGTAATTTGTTATTGATTTATCGTTATGAATTAGAATTTTCTTTTGTTATTGAGAGTTCTGTGAATTGTACTGTAGCCAACAGACCCTGCCAAACAAGCAATTTCACAGCATTCTACTTTATTTGTATCGACATCTGTTGTACATCAACATCGTAGAGTATTTAAATTCTGTGGACAATGCTAATTAATAGCTAGCTTATCATTATTGCTAAGCTGGAAGTGACAAAATTGCTGAAAAAGTTCGCCTTGACATATTTCTCTAATGAAAGCTCATAGAGTCATTTATACCCGCCTGAAGATCCTCAGGTCATTTCTTGTATGATTCGAACCTTGACCTGTCCACTGACTCTTGTGGCTTGTATTTAAGAAGAATTCAAATTTTAAATCATCTGAATCCAGCAGGTGCTTTTCTAAGACTAAAGATGTTAATATTTTTTAATTATCCGTCCGAAAATGAATAATTTTCTATTTTGATCCCCTTTGAGAAGCTAAAAAGCTTTTTTTTTCCAAATCAAAAATATTGGAATAGCCTCCTGTAGTTCAAAATTCTGTTATGGGTCATATGTACCTTTTACTGTTTCTAAGTGTTGCTCTCTAACTAGCTTCATGTTTGGATGTTGATGGGTTTTAAGAAAAAAAAAAAATAATAATCAAACTGTAATGGGTGTAAGAAAAGATCAGCAAAACTTCTGATTGTCATCTGGTGATATTCAAAACTGTTCCACTGTCGAGTACCATAAAACTCAACTCATGCTCTCTAAAAGCGCCTGGTAAAAACTAATACCAGCTTTACCCATTCATAACAGTCTAATTTAGTAGCTATGTTATGGTTAAATTGTACAAAGACGCACAACCTTGTTCTGATTTGCGCCATTGTGGGAAAATAGGTCCAAATATTTCTTGCAACCAAAATTGCTCGTGTTAAATGAGTAATCAATTTATGTTTCGTCAATGACTAAATTGTGAAGAATTTATGCAGGTAACTTGACATACATGTATTTGGAATCCGGCCTGAAGTTATTGTTCTATTGTTCTGGTTTGAATCCTTAAAAATCGAAATGCCTCAAATCACTCATAATGGAAGAATTTTTGTCAGTGTGTTATTTTTTTCTCTAATTTTACAAGCACCTGTGGAAAGTTTTGGATTTATTAGGTACTTAAAAGTGTCAAAGTAAAAATTTTATCTCTTATCCAATAAATTGTATGTCATGTAATTAATAACTGTTTAATCGAGATCCTACTAGAAATTTATTCAGTTTTTCCTCTGTTGAAGGTTGTACTTTGCCCAAATATTAAAAAAATATATAATATACTGAATAACATAAAAAATTACCCAAAAACTCTTTTTATGATGGACGTTATTTTGCATACACCCATGGCTGCCTGCAGCTGTTGACAAGTAGTATCAATTCTATTATTTAATTTTTTTTGCCCTGTATTATTTAGTGAGGGCCTAGTCGAACTATTGGCTCAACTTTTACTTTATTACAATTTCGTTTGGTTTTTTTTATGAATTTTACATTTTGTTAATTATGAAATTTCGTCTAGTACTTGTAAATATATTGCTACCTTTTGAATTTAATGGAATACTCAACCATTTTGTTGAAAATTTGTGGTGAGAAAGGCAAATCTGTGCGACATTGTTGTCTCTTGCCGAAAAATAAGTTAACACATATGGAATATGGTTTAATTTTAGTTAGTTTACTTATATTATGTTTTTTGATTCTATTATTTATTTAAAGCTTTTTGTGATACTAACTTATTACTGTTACTGTTTTGGAATCTCTAAGAGCTCTGGTCATTATTTCACCCTAAATTCCGGTTTGCATATTCTAACCCTTCCTTCAGAGACATTTAAATGTGACGGAATGAAACTCCAATGTTTACTTTTATTTATTAATAGCTGTAATTTTTTTCCTCTCTTTTTTAATGTGGGTCTTCATTTTTTTATAATTATTGTTATGATTTTCAAATTACTTTCCCTTGAATTGAAACAGCTCAGAATGAGGTACTTATATTTTTTCTTCTTTTTCTTTCTTTGCAATTAAGAAATGTCTAAACTTGCTTTCCACCTTTCTTTTTCCATAAAGCATTCAGTCCTCTTAAAAAAATAAAACAGACATTTGTAACTGTTAAGGTTCAACGAAGAATTTTTAAATTTCAGAAAATTTTGTAAAAGTGTAGCCTCAAAATTTTTGTTATCGTTGGTACATTTCTACATTTTGTATTATTTGTTCCATTGTTTTACAGGTAACTTCCTCTAGGTCAAACTGCATAGAGACCAGATCGTTAGTTCCACTTAGAGAGAAATTCCACTCAGAACGTTTTTTGATTCTATGAAAAATTCGATGGGACCTTTTTTGACCTTTTTTGGGGGAAGTTTGACTTAGAGGAAAATTCTACTCAAAGAGCATTCGACTTGCAGGAAGTTAAATATAGATTAGAAAGATCATAGCATTCAACTCTGCACTTCTACCAAAGTGTCTCTGAAAAATCCTGTGAGAATCATTTCCATAATAGCAAAAAATTTGGCCGTGATGCCAGAAAATCAGGGACTCGCACCAAATATAGACATAGTACTAAAATGTATGAATTATATTAGTGAAATAATTTTTTTCAGCCGCCAATGCCTCTCCATTGTCAAAATATTAATTTTTAAAGTTCCAATTTTTTGCCTTCCTCGGAGCATATGTGTGGAGCCTCAGAAGGTAGCTCTGTGTAGTTAGTGTTCGTTTTTGTCCTTAAAAAGTAACGAAAGCCGACATCTAAGACTAAGAGGTGGCTTTAGCTAATTATCTATATAATGTCTTTTTTTGTTTTTGAAGGATGATAAAAGCCATCCTTTAGGACTTAGAACAAAAACTATTTTTTTGCAAAGCATGCAACAGGTACTATAAAAAAATATGATGGTTGTCTCACCCTAGATTACCCTATATTCATTCAGATTTAATTTGTAAATGGTGTTGGCAGAACAAATACATTCACTAACAGGATAGTAGGGACTTTTTCTAAATTTTTACATGGTTTTAAAGTTGTTGATTTCTAATTAAATCACTCATAGGATAATTATTCTGTCTGTTCTCGAGTTTTTTCACAGTTTAGGAATATTTTACCTACTCTGTTCTGTCATATGAAATTGCTACCTCAACCTCACTAATTCTAAATCCACCATTTTTTGCTAATGTTAAAAAGCTGTAATGCTTTGCATAAAACTTTTATTTTGTAATGCATCAAATTGTTCCATTTCAAAAAAATTGTTAATGTAAATTTTTAAAACTCCACGTTTTCTTCTTATGGGGGAAAATTAAACCATGTTTTTTTACGAAAAATGTCATTCAAAGAGAACATCGATTTGAATTTGTTCTCTTGAAACTCTCTCATTTGATCAATATTTTTTAACTGCTGTCGTGATAAATGTTACTTACTTGAAGTGACAGAGGTGCTTTCAAAAGTTTAAGGAATCACTACAGCCTTTTATGTGTACCTGATAAATTCAGATCAGTTTTAAATATGTTTGCTTACTTTTATGAGAATTTTAATCATTGTTTTGAGTTCTCTTGTCTGTGTTCCTATACTTACTTCTTTAATAATTAGGGCTTCGCTTACATACTCTCGGTTTTTTTAAAAAATCCTACTGTGTCTTTGTTCAGATTGTGGTTAATTTCTGTCAAAATTTAATTCCGTGCAATGATATTGCTTTGATTTGAAGACATATTTTCTTTTAATAAAGTTTACCCGCACATTTATCAAATCCTTCTTTTTCTTTGCAAGTACTATTTTCCTTTGACTTTTTACAGTGTAACAACTATATGTTATCATATGCACCTCTTTAATGACTTTACATGTAGGTGTCAGTTTTTTTCTCTCTATGAATGAATGAATAAAATAGAACAAGTTCTATGCATGAATAAATAAATAAATAATTTAATAAATTAATACACATTCTTGAGAACATGAAAACTTAACATCTAATCAAATAAATTAGGTAGGAGGATGTCTCAATTTTGAAAGTCAAAAACACACCCAGTGGGTATCACAATCCTACGGTCTGAATAAATCACAGAAATACAATGAGCATTCGATCAATCAGCTCATAATAAAAAACAAGGAATAAGTGAAATTTTAAAATTTTTACACAAGTTTTATAGTCGTAACTGATCAATCGGAATTTCGAGAAATAGAATCATAGAGAATTTGTCATTTCTCAGACGAATGAATGTAATTACAATTAAGTGTTGCAAAATTTCCACTAGGGAATCGCACTTTTGCAAGGACTGTTGGGCATTTTTGACTGAAATTTTTAATAATTTTTCTTCCATTATGCGTGAAAGTCAGTAAAATTTTGAACTGAAATTGCACAGTCTTCCTTTTGTGAAAATACTGTATTGTTTGAGTCACCTTTCATACCTTGGAACACTGAAGGAAGAACATTGCATAAGCCACGAGACGTTTTCAAATTTCCTTCGATAAAATACGAAGTGTCAAGAAAATTTTTGAATATTTTTTATCTCAATTTTTTTAAAGGAATTCGCAATTTTTTGTAATATTTGAAAATTTCAAGCAAAACTATTGATTTCTGAAAAAGCATTGTTCTATTCAGGTAAATTTGGAAACGTCTCAAGGCTCATACTGCGTTAGAATAGAACCATGCTGCCGTGCTAAGGAAGAACGCCGTATGAGCCTTCAGACTTTGCCAAATTTCCGTCAATAAAATATGAATTCGTAGAAAAATTGGTGAATATCTTTCTCTGAAATTTTCAGCGAATTTATTCATAGCTAGATCTAAATTATCTGAAAAACTCCAGAGAAAATATTAACAACACTCCTCAAAAACACAAATTTTATCTGAGGAAATTTGGCAACTCTCGAATGCTCATACGGGGTTTTTCCTAAACGCGGCAGAATCGAGCTACGTTCCTCCGCATGGGAATCGACGCATTGCCGCCAGTGCGCTTCTCAGAACGTAAGAAGAACTGAACGACCGAGTCAGTTCCAACAAGCACTTTTAGATCTGTACAAAGGATCGGTTGTGGGTATGGGGTCGCGCATCAAGCCGAAGTTCCAGCGCGGTGGTTTTCCCCATTGTCAAAGTAGGTACCTACACCTGCGCATCGTACAATGATGAGCAGACGGCATGAGAAGAATTCTATGAAAACTGGAGGTTTGGTTATGGTGAAACGAGCCACTGGTAAATATCCAAGGATTCGGAGCTGATTGAGTTTATTCCTCGGAATCAGCGACGATGCGCCAGCGATCTTCTTGTTCGGGCTGGACCACCGGCACCGGAGCGGGTGTTACCGGTTTCTTGGCTGGTGCCTCCGGTTTCTTGGCGGGTGCCTTGGTGGTAGTCTGTTCCTTGATGGCCTGTTCCTTGATGGCCTGTTCCTTGATTGCCTGTTCCTTCTGTGCCTCCTGCTGTCCTTTCTTGGTGTACTTGCTCAGGATCTTGACCAAGTTCTCGTGGGCGGCGTGTTCGGCCTCCTGGTGGTGGGCGGCAGACTCGAGAGCGGCGTTCTCTGCGGCGAGGGCGTTGTTGGCGTTGTTCTGAGCGATCTGGGCGGCGGTCGAGTGGAACTTGTGGGCGAGGGCGGCGTGGTAGGCGGCGTGCTGGGCGGCCAGTTGGGCGGCGTAGTGAGCGCCTCCCTCGGCGAGGGCGGCCTGCTGGGCGATGAGCTTCTGGAGGAAGGTGAGGCGCCCCTTTTCCTTCTCGCCGTCGGCGTCTTCGATCTCGTCGAAGTGGTCCTCGTAGTTCTGGCCGTAGGTGTCTACCAACGGTTGCTTGGCCTTGCACTTGGGGATCGAGGAGTCGACCGGCACGCAGTTGTCGATGATGAGAGTAGCTGTGGCGTGGTCTTGAACCTGCGAAACAACGAGAGGGATCAGATTAGGTTTACTTTATCTCGATCGGGAATCCATGTTCAGTCGTTTCTTCTTTCCTGTGGTTCCCGATGTAGAGACTACATCGGGAACTACACGCCAGAGGAAAAGACTGAACGAGAGAGATGGTAAAGTCAAAGTATATTAACGGTAGATACCTATTTGCTTGACGACTCAAGTGGGACTTGTGGAACTTGACATTAGGAGAGGTCCATGGTTGCCAGATTTTGCTGTTTAGCATTATTTTCATAAGAGTAAATGTTAGCATGCTGATTTGTCGTCAGTACACTTTGGCAACCATGGAAAGGTCGGGCATGATGTGAAAATTGTAAAGCTTATATCTTCTTCAATAGGTACCCAACGTATAAGTTTAAGTGGTTCCATTGGTCTCCTCGTAAAATTTTTTGCATTAAATTGTTTAACTTCAACGGAATAAACATCAAAATTTGCTGCTTAAGTCAAAAATTCCATGGAAGATCTTTCAGTGTCAGAGGTACAATCGAATGAGCTTAGTGGAGAGAGTTTGAGAGTTACTTAGTTTGAGAGAACTCAGTTATCCTTCAATTCAGTGGCTATGTAATTTCAGCCACCCTGGAGTTTAAATAGTTGTATCACATAGTTTAATATCCTAGCGCTCAATGCAACGTCACAAAATTTAAAGCTCAGCTCAAGACATAGATCTTCGAATGGAAAATTATTGCTGCCCGTGGGGTGCTTTCTACTCTACCTCCAAAAAAAGCGGGAGAAATAGATGAGGAATAAAAAATACCTTTTCGGTCTTGGTGGCGTAGATTGTCTTGGTTTCCCAGACGGTGTTGTGGCGGCCGATGAGCTTGGAGATGATCCGGGCGTCCTTTTCGTCTTCAGCAGCGGCCACGTTGTCCTGAGGAGCTTCGTCGATCTTGACCTCATCGCCGGCGGTGACGACCGGGGTTCCGAACTGGATGTAGCGTCCCTCGCGGGACTCGGCGGGGATGGCGTCCTTCGCAGATTCGTCCTCCTCCTCCTCAACGACCTCCTCGCTGGCAACCGGTTTCACGACGGGCTTCTTGGTCACTACTGGCAACGGGTTCTTCAGACCAACCGTAGGCCTGCAAATCAGAGCAAACGTCATGTTAGTATAACAACATTAACGGAGATCGAAAAAACCGAAAAAATCGAGATATCAAACAACATGGAAAAAATTAAATTGCTCATTTAACAATTAAATTGCCAAAAAAAAAAAAGTGCCTGCGATGTTTCAACGTAGATTTTACAACAAAAAAAATGCTACTTCAACCACTATTGTAAGCTAATTTAACTACGGGGGTGGTTAAAGTAGCTGTTTTTTATTGTAAAATCTACGTGGAAACATTACAGTCACTTTTTTTAGCGATTTAATTGTTTAATTTTTTCCGTGAATGATTTGAATTCAAAGCGAAAACGTAACACAGGGTGATTTAGGGTTAAACGGCCAGACTACAGTATGACCGACCAGTCCGGAGCCGAAACACCCCCCAAACACCCTCTTTAAATTGAGATTTCGATTTTTTTGGATCATTCATGAATTCAGGGCATACAATTACAGGGAAGTACAAATTTTCATGAGATTTGGTTCGCAACTGTTGCCAAAATTCAGGAAGAACGATTTACTTTCCGAAATTTTGGGGGGCCGTAGCTCCGACTGGAGGCGCTTTTGGAAAAAACTTTATCCAATTAAACAGTCTTATTTTAACGTATTCTTAATCGTGGATCAGCCTGTATGCACTGTTAGTAGTCGAGGAGTGAAATTCGGAGCTAGAGTCTGTCGAGTTCCTGAAAACCGCGATTGATGTGAGTGCGAAGTGAAATTAGCATAAGTAAAATTAAAAGTCTTGCTTTAATTGCTTGTTGATTTTTTTATATTATTATTTTTATGAAATCAGCATCATAAAAGCGCATGACCCTCCGCAAAAAGAGTAGATTCCGCTCCGTAATAGTGTAAGTCTCTCCGTAAGAAGAGTAGATTCCGCTTCGCATATATATTATTCGGGGTTTTTGGTCTTTATATAAACTCCGGTACAGAATTTCATCCTTAAATGTTTAACTGTGCAGCCAATTCGAATGAAAGGGGCGGATTTTGCTTTGACCCCACCAACCAGGGGGTCTAGGGGGTATGAAATATCCCTCAAGGGTATTTTCGGGCGAACGGAAGAGGGGAGGAGCTTCTGCGTGTCAGAGCAATGTGTCTCTGCCTTTCAAATTTTTAGTACCTAAGCGAAAGCAGGAGGCTAATAAAGAACTTTTATTTTTTAACAGGAGAGTGCCATTAAATGAACTACATTTTGCAATTAGATACTATAAATTTCAGTCCGATTTAAAAACAACGTATACGCCATTAGTTTCCCTATACACATAAGTGTTTTTTCAGGTGAGTTAGAATGTATAGGTCCAAATTGCAAAATTCCGTCCAAATCTGATACAAGGAAATTGGTGGTAAGCCATTTCCAAATTTTTAAACTAACACACAAAAACTTGGCAGTTTTCACTTCAATCACAAGTTCATTGGCATCCGCAACACAGTCGTCAGATCGTGCGCTAAATTGTAGATACTTTACGTGGGTTTGAATATGGATAAATGCTGATTTTTTCAGCACAATCCGGCAACTGTGATCCGCGACGGCAGACGAAATTGCAGCACAATCTGTCTCATTAAAAAAAACCGCCGGAGACGACAATTCCAACTGTGTAAATATTCAGCAAATTATCCCACACCATTTCAACATTTAATTTCACCAGTAAATTTACGTAGCTAATTTCAAATTAGCGAATTCGCAGAACAGTCTAGATACTTTGCTTAATATGCCTCAACATCGCGGATTATAGTTTAATAATGCGACGTAGTTCAGGCGCATACCTAAGCTGCTATTGTACCAGAACCTTCCAAGCACAGGCACATTTTTCATGTAGTCTGTTCTACTCTCGAAAAAAACCATCAAAAAATCTCTCACATAAAAATTATTTCTGAGATGTCCACCATTTAGGTATCACGCGCCATACTTATATGAGGCATAGTAACCCCAAGCACACTCGCAAGTGCGTATGTACATTGATACCAGTGACCTTAGTTAACGGCGGCGGATAGGCAACTAAACTAACTCCTTGGAATGCTGAGAGTATCGCCATCATTTGAAGGCGCTCTAGGGCCGAGGTCGTGCTGTTGAAGTTACCATTTACCAATGAAGTCTTTATACGTCGCGTCGATGCGAATTATTGCAATTTGACGAGTCAACTCGCATGCCGCTTACAAATTGTCGGCAATTTCTGAATCTAAGACGTACGCTTTGCAATTAAATGTTAAGACGGGATGGTTTTTTTTATTCTTCTTTTATTATAATGTTAACTTACTTGATGTGGGTTACGGTGGCGGTTGGCTTGATGACAACATCGTCGCTGCTAGCATCTGCGTGGCTATCACAGGGTGGTTTCTGAGGGTCAACTGTCCAGCAAACAGGGTGAGTTTTCTCGTAGTGGGTCATCTATAATGAAAAGAAGAGGGGAACCATTATGAAAGTTCTTTTAAGATTTAAAGCTATTTTCAATAGCTGTTTTCAAATTTCTAAAATATATGTGCATAAAGCAGGCTCATCTGAAGACTATTGCTTGTCAATGGCCCCAAAACTCATGAGATCGACCACGTTGGGCGGTTTGGGCAGTAGAACGAACTTTGGCAAAAAGTGCATATCGATTAGAAAAAGCTTTCACTTCTATAGTGCTGAAAATTCTGAGTTTTTTTAATTCAAGTAGATTTGTTTTTCTTTCTTTATGTGACTTCCAATGAAAATCCAGATTTTTAGGGGGCAATTTCTAGGGGCCACGTTGACGCAGAGCCTTCATTTTTTAGGCGCCATGGCAGATTTTTTAGGCGCATTTGGCGCGTTGGCGCCTGTGAGTTTCGAACACTGTCCATAACTGAGATATAGTAAAAGTAGTAAACATTCTGGCGTTGAATTACCTCGACGATGACGGTTTTGGTGGCCTTGACCTGGGGGCGCTGGAGGAAGGCCGGGACGGGGGGCATGGGCGGGAGGGGGATGCCGGGGAGTCCGGGGAGGTGGAGGGTGGAGAAGACGTTGTCGTGCTCGAGGGCGTTTTTCTCGGGCGCCGCCTCCGCTTTCCCGGCGTCGGCGTCCACGTCATCCATGCTCGACTCCAGCTTGGCCGCCTCCGGCTGCGGCTCGCCGTTTCCGCCGAAGAACTTGAGCGTCGGCAGGGACAGACCACTCGCCGTCGTCATCAACGCCGCGCCAATTATCAGCAACTCCAGTTTCCCCATCTTCCTGAAATCACAAGACAATGCCTCCTATTAGGCTATACCGCGGTAGGCGCCACGCCGCACAATGGACCTACTCAACAGGCGAGGTCGGACAAAATGCGGAAACTTTAAAAGTTTATAACTCCGTTTATACAAAGCTTTGCAGGTTCTAAAAGTGGTTTCAGTGGTTTCCTCGTGACATTTTCTTCTGAGAGCACCCTTTACAATTAATAATATGAATAACTAGACATTAAAATTTGCGGTTTTAGTCAAAAATTTCATGCCCGACTTTACTGATTGACTCGATCGACTGTGCGCCTTGCTCATAGATGGACCGCCTTAAGCAGAAAGGAACCAAGTCACACCAGCCATTGCCAAATTTAATTTGGCAATTTAATTTTTTACAAGAAACGGTTGTGCGGATTTTTGAGCCAATGTCAGTGATTTTTCTGCATAGTACGAAGCAAATTCCTTAAAATTTCTAAATAACTCCGCTCAAACGGTCTCTTGTAAAAAATTGAATCGTCCAGTTAAATGCAACAGCTGATGTGGCTTGATTTCTTTCTGCTAAATGTGGTCCAGATAGTCTCAGGGACAGGGATAGTCGTCAGGATTCTTACACAGGGGAAAGAGTCTCTTGGATCTCAAGTCTAGACTCTTAAAAAATTTGACAAGAAAAACTACCCTTGATTTAATCGGATTATTGCTTCAATCCAAAGGAAACCAGCTTATATTAAGAGGTTTTGCTCTCAACTCGAGCAGAAATCCGATTCAATCGAAAGTATTTTTTCTTGTTAAATGTTTCAAGAGTCTGAACTCTAGATCCACGTTTCTCATTATATTTTGTGGCTGAGGTGTTTATTTCTTCAGAGAGCCTTCATTTAATCCAACGCGTATGTATTCAATGAACATTATTACAAGCACCAGCAAAGTCAATGCGAAAACTCAAATGATATGTAGGTATTGGATGTCTAAAACTCGATATCACCAAAAAGATCTGATTATGTTTCCTTCAGGAGAAACTAGTCAAAAAACCTCGTAAAATCTGGTGAGAATTTTTATTTTGAATAAGTGAAGAAAATTCGCAGAAAATTCCTGTAGAAACTGTTGGTCATTTACTTTTCTTTTAATGAAATTACGCATGAGCGAATAGGTACTTAAGACGACGCAAATATAAGGTACGCATCTTTCAACTTTAGCCATCAAATATTTCATTGAATTTTTCTTCTCACGTAATTCTCGATGTATTTTATTTTATGTGATTTATTTATTTTAGGTGAATACACATGTAACTAGCCTAAAATGAACTACGTGTAGATACAAAATGCATCGCTTTGGCATCCGCCAAAATGACGCCGATCATACCGCGACTTCACCGAATTTATTCTTACTGAATGTTTTTTAGGGAAGTCTAATTGGTATAATTTTTTTAAAAAAATGTAAGATTACAACGCTCGAAGAGTTCACAAGACTTCTAAAATGATAATAGGATTATTTACGGTTTAGGTACCTATTTCTAGAGAAAGCAAGAGAAGGAGAAACAACCCCTAAAAAACATGCCAATAAAATGAATAAGCACAGTTGAATCAATCAATAGATACTGAAATGTTGCACGGAAATGGAAGCCTTCATTTCTATTTTATATTTATTCTATCCAGTCTATTACTTACTAAATTTATTTATATTTAATTGTATATATTAGCGAACGAGAATCTCATAGCCGCGCAATAATGAACAACCCTTTTCTCCGGTTTTTCTATTAATTGAAAAATCTCTTACACGAATGCCCGGCCCAAAATATTGCAACTGAAAATTTGTTTCTTACTAAAGCTAGGACAAACTTTGATTTTCGGCCCTCTTGATGTTAGAGAAATTCCAATGACGTATCGCAAGTCTTTCAGTCTCACTATTTTTTCACTCACATGCAAATTATTATTTATACTTAATTTTTATTAATTATTTTATTTTATATCTTGGCTTATTCATTTTATTACACTTTTACCAGAATCACCGAAAACCATTCATTAGAATAAACCAAAAAAGTAATATGAAAATTAGATTTAGATTATAGTCAAAGACGGTTAACCTGCGGAGCTTCAAGTACTGTCACGTGCATTTAATGTCAAAAGATCGCCGTCTAAATTGTTTTAGAACTAATTTGATAGAGTAAACTAAAACTATCGAGCACAACGTTAGAACCATTTTCGAATTAGAACCCTAACTTCGGCACGACTGAAACTTGTAGAATCTTACCTTAGGATCTTGACAGGAACAACACAAGTGAAAATCCGTCGGGTAACTCACTAACTCTTTATAGCGCGGACTGTTGCGAAGTGACCAGCTGATTCAGGTTCGCTAGGTTCTAGCGCTGGTCGGAAACGAGAAAGCGCCAAAATTTTGGTGGTGGTGGCAGTCAGGATTGGTAACACCCCTATCAGGATTTCGCTGTTGCCAGATCGCGAATTTAAATTTCCTGAATTCTCGCGGATCCTATGCTCGGATCGGGATTATTTTGGCTAGATCGCGAGGGTAGGGAATGGGGGTGTTGCGTATTTGGTCAAAAATATAATGAGGTTTTTTGAGAGGTCGTGAGATGTCGTTGTCAATATGGCAACAGGGATGATATAGGTGATTCTGCGTAATGACGTAGAGTTTGCCCTTTAATTCCGCTTGCATGCACACAACTTAACGGGATTTGCCCGCGAATTCAGCTTCGAGCTAAATCACATCCTCGTTGAAATCATCTCCGGTTGAGCAACAGCGGATTTTCGAGTTGAGAATCGTATGATCTCACCTCATGATTTTTCAGAGATATTACAGAGATAATTTAATTTTTTGAACCTGCGCTTAAGATGTAAAATTTCATGTTTGTAATGGTTAAATCTCGCGTTACGGAGAGGGCAATTTCTTCAAATCCACCTACGATTTTTCGCTTGTGCAACACATAGTACGAGGAGCGTTCAATAAGTAAGTATCCCCCCTCTCTAAAATCCATAAGAATGGACCAATTTTAAAAAACTTGGGCTCAAAATCTTCCTTAGGATATTTTGAGCTCAACAAAACAAATCGCAACAAAATCGGACTATGTGCGGCCGAACGCGAGCCGTTTGAACGCGCCGAGGAGCTCGACGCTCCCGCCGAATCTGCGAGGATTTGAAGTCCGCTACAGGAGAAGAGCTTCTCTGCCAAAGCCTCAGTCGTTCATCACTGACGAAAAATCAAAGAAATTTTTGTAGAATAAGGGGCTTACCTCACTTCTCCACATAAGCAGCTCGATCCAAGCAAGTCTGATACTGAGACTAAGACTAAGAGAACAGCTTTTGGATGCCTCGTGCGTGGAAGTCTTTCAGCTGACCGCGGATGAAAGAGTGGACGGCTTGTTTGACCTCTTCCACTGATTCAAAATTTACTCCTCCAAGTTCAGATTTCAGGAACGGGAATAAATGGTGGTCTGGTTTGCCATTTATTATCGTATCTGAAATCTGAACTCGGAGGAGTTAATTTTGAATCAGTGGAAGAGGTCAAAACAAGCCGTCCACTCTTTCATCCGCGGTCAGCTGAAAGACTTCCACGCACGAGGCATCCAAAAGCTGTTCTCTTAGTCTTAGTCTCAGTATCAGACTTGCTTGGATCGAGCTGCTTATGTGGAGAAGTGAGGTAAGCCCCTTATTCTACAAAAATTTCTTTGATTTTTCGTCAGTGATGAACGACTGAGGCTTTGGCAGAGAAGCTCTTCTCCTGTAGCGGACTTCAAATCCTCGCAGATTCGGCGGGAGCGTCGAGCTCCTCGGCGCGTTCAAACGGCTCGCGTTCGGCCGCACATAGTCCGATTTTGTTGCGGTTTATTTTGTTGAACTCAAAATATCCTAAGGAAGATTTTGAGCCCAAGTTTTTTAAAATTGGTCCATTCTTATGGATTTTAGAGGGGGGATACTTACTTATTGAACGCCCCTCGTATCATTGCAAATCGCATTTTTGTCGGTCGGAGTTGCATGCAAAGCACAAATCGACGGTGAAACTACCAAACCACGTATCTCGGTTTGCGACGTCGCAGACTTCCTGTCATACTTTATTTTTTAAATGAAAAGCTACTTAACGTCCAGTCTTGAAAATTTCCGTGATTTTTCCTCTTCGTGCGGAGAAAATTCTGTGAAAATTTCAAGGAATGATATTGATTTGGTCTACTTCAAGAAAATAAAATGTGAGCGGAGATTTTTAAACACCGCAAACGAGATACGTGGTTTGGTAGTTTCACCGTCGAAATGTGCATAGTTAAATATCTGATAATTTGTCGACGGACACAACCTTCTTCGTAATTTTACTTGATTAGCACATGATTTTTCCCAAAAATGATTTCTGAACCCTTCCCCTACCACAATATTGCCACATTCGCAGCTGAAGTGAGTCGCACTATTTGCAAAGCGCATTTTTTGCCGATCGGGGTTAAATTCAAAGAACAAATGAGTGCCACTAAAGATGTATAAAGCTCCATGTCTGGTGTTGTTCAGCGTAAGCTTATTCCTCTGCGCTGCGTTAAAGTCTCTGAAATGATTCTTGCATTTTGCCGTCTTGACGATTTCTCGCGTAGTTCAGTGTAATCGAATTTTCCAGGCACGAAACATTAGGTGCGTCTTTCCACAGAGTCTGACGCCAGTAAAAAACACCGACACCGAGTCAAAGGCGAGAGGAGACCCAGACTATTTGTTGCACAGCACTTTAGGAGCGGGATTTTCAGATAATCCCACTATACTCTTCGCTGTCAGAGCCTTAAGTTTCGTGAATCACTGCGACATGAGGGGAAGCGAATGCATTTTAAGGCGAGTACCTTATTCGGCTGCTATTTGGGTGTCTTCTGGTTCCAATGATCATAAGAGAGACGTTGAGTGTATTTTGGATGAGACTGTTGGGTCTCGGATTACAAACATTCATCCTGGGATCAGGCCCGCCACAAGGGGGGGGATACTGGGTCCCTGGTACCGGGGCCCGGGCCCCGGAGGGGGCCCGTGTTACCCGTGAAAAACCACTACGAATTCACATGCAACCCTTGTTTCGTAAGAAAAAGTGAAAAATTTACCCTAAAAATTTCGCTAAAGGTGAATAGATTTTCAGAAACACGCTTGGGGCACTGTAGAATTCTTCTTAAATTTTCAAAGAAGTATACTTCTTGGAAAATTCCTATCTATTTTCAAGATTTTCAGTACAGAAGGATATTTTTAGTAACTGCGTTTCATTTTCTTCCGTCGTCAGATACTAAGAGTCTCCAGTCTGGGCATCCTCGACTTCAATGGCTCATGGCTAAACTCCCTTGCCATAGACAAACGAAGGGGGAGTCCAGGGGGGTCTGGCCCTCTTAGAACTGAATATAGTATCATATGCTCCCCCCCCCCAAAAAAAAAATAAAAATAAAAATTTTCCAGATGTTTTGAATGTAACAATTCGCAAGTATTTTGTGCTGAAAGTAGAAAAAAAAACATAATTATTCCGCAGAAATTGATGGAAAAATTATTTATCTAAGCTTCAGAATGAGTCCGATTAATCGTATGAATTCTGAAATTTCTCGGGGGATGCCCCTCGGACCCCCCCCCCCCCCCC